ACTTCAGTGACAAAGTGAGAGAGTCCTTAGAAATACTGAGGGGGTTCATTACAAGTAAATAGCATGTTTGAGACAATTTGGAGTAACAAATGCAATTATAGAAGCAGAAACAAGTATCTTATTGGACGCCTCATGTTATAATCCGGAGTCTCAAAAATAAAAACAGGGTAGTAAGCCCGGCTAATGGCAGCCCCGCTGTGGCAGAAATGTGCTACTTTTACTATATTTAAAAACAACTGAACAGTTCGGTATTAAAAAAGATGAAACAAGGTAAGTGTAAGACACTGGCAAATATCCTTAGTTATTTCATCATCCCAAAAGCAATGTGCAAGTGTGCATGTGAGTTCAAAGGTCACTCCTCTTCCAGATTCCCCTAAAGAAAGGAACTTTACCTCTAAAGGGTAGGGAGAAAAAGCTGTTCTTCCCACACATTAGCAATAGGTTATTTATTTATTTTTAAAGTATCAAGTGTTCTATATCTTCTATGAAAGTCTTGTACTAAGATATTACTCACTGCATCAAAAAATCAGGACAGGAAAGACTAGAAACATTACCAAAAAAAGTTAAATCTTACTTAACATTCCCCCAGAGCTTCTTAATTACAAAGCCTCAGATTCTTGTAACTCAAAGTTTACAGTAATCACCATTTTGAAAGTCAAGTGAAATTCACAGTTTTCTTTTAAACCACTTTCTCTGCAAAACAGTGATAACTTAGCACTTCATTTTGCTCATGTAAAATAAAAACCAAGCAATTAATGTTCTATCAATGCAACTCTAAATTCACAACATTATGAATAAGATACTCTAGTCAAATATTTTGAAGATTAGTAAGAAGTGTTCAGAAGGTAATTATGGGGTTTAAAGGAATCTAGAAGCCAAAATGAAGTAACCTTTTGTCAGATGGTCTGATAAAGGTGCTGAAGTTTATTAGCTTCCTCTTTCTACTCGTCCTTGCCCCCATCTTCCCTCCCCCCACCCTTCTTCCTTACCAAAACAAAGCAAAAACCCCAGAGCTATCCATTTAGAATCTAAAACAAGTATTCCTGACCCAAACTTCTAAAACCTAGAAGCTATTCTATAAAGCCTGTTATAGTAGCCTTGTTTACAAGAAACAAATATAGACCACTTAATGTAAACAAACCCAGAAAACAATTTCACACCCACTTATTTAGAACAAAAATGTCTTTTCATTTTGACGAATAAGAATGTAGGTCAAGAACATGTTTATTTATATTAACCCTGTCTATATTCATTAAAAAAAAGCAAATATGATATGTAATACCTGAGAATGTGTTTAATAAAGGAAGTGAAAAAGCTCTCAAAACGTGCAGGGAGCCTTAATGACTTATTTAAAAATAAACTCTGATTACAGCATGGTAAAATTATTCTTCTAGGCCTTACAGTCAATTTTCAGAAAGAATGAGTCCAGTCAATGTAGTAATATTTGTCTCACTGGAAATTCTGTATAAAACATCTACCTAAAATAAACAAGACTTCTCTGCAAGAATCGTCAGCTGCCATTAAGGACACACCTTAAAGTTCTTACCACACAGTAACTAAGCAAGTACAAACTAGTGGTGAACGTTTGCTACTTTTTGTCTGAAAAGTTAATGAGATAGATCCAGTAGTTAATATCAGATCTTAAAAGATAGTGTTTTTAAAAAGACAAAAATCAACATGAACACACAGGACTTAAGTATGAGATGTATTGTTAGAATGTTCATATGATACATCATAAATATAAACATTAACATTTAAACTTACTTGACACCACACAATACTAAAAGGTAAAATGCCTTCCTGCTAAGAGCACTAGTGCTCCAGTACTGGAAGGCAGCTGTTGTTACCCTCCCTTTTCTTTTGTTGTGCTTAATCTCACATCAAGTCATTCAACCAACTCCAAAGTGATGAAGACATAACTGAATCAACCTTAGCTATTTAAAAACAGTAGATCTGATTTTAGTTATGTACATTTTAATGATTCCAAACAACCCAACTTCCACACACTCCAAAAAAATTATAAATATATATATAATAAAAAAAAAATCAGCAACTCCAACATGTGCAGAAGTTTGCCTGGCTGTAAATCAAGTCAATTACTGTAATAGCCATGTTTCTGAAGTCATTTGCTATTCCTCCTTATAACTATTAAAACTTATAACACAACCTGAAATTTCAGTGATTTAAAGAAAAGGCCAAAAGATTTAATGAATTTCAAACATTAAATCAGAGATCTAGTAAGAACCGTTAATATTAGATTAACTAAATCATTAATGATCCATCACGAACTAGCATTGCTACCACAGATATTAAATATTGACTCATCAGTTCACAAAACTAGTAGGGGGGGAAAAAAATAAAAAAAAAACCAACACACCACTTCACTCTTCCCTCCTCCTTTGCTGAAGAATGCAGTTTATCTTACTTATTTGGAACTGCCCCTTCACATTATCAGATAAAATGTTTAAATAGATCACAAATTAGAGTATTAGGTTTGGGACTCAAAGTACAGTTAATAAAAGAGCTCATAAGAGTAATAAAACATGGCGTGAAAGCATTTGCAAGCTATTGTCATAGCCCTATGCTCTGATACCTTTGCAGACACAAAACCAGCCCCCAACAATGTAAGCATTGGTCAGCAAGTCAATGCTTGCTATTCAACTTGTAGTTAGGCGTTTTATTTCAGTGTCTCCCAGATCATATCAGTCCTGCATTCAAGGCCTAATAAAATGTGAAGAATGATATCCTCTCTCATTGCATTTGAAACTGCGTTATTTCCCCGTTCTTTCTCATACAGTCTTACAGAAACTTCCCTTTTCACATACTTCTATGAGAAAACATTTCTCTGCATCTACTTTAGTTCCTATTTCTATTTTCGCTTTGCACTAGATCCTTCTAAGCGCTGCCTCCCCTCAAACTCATCGAGTAGAAACTGATGTAGCTTTAAAACCTTCAAGGTCACTTTAGAAATAAAAAAAAACTACCGATACATTAATAATAAATAATAATAATAATTAATAAACTTCAAAACACACTAAAGCCTTTTCAAATCCAAACGCCTTTCATCAGTAGATCAATAACCCAACATAGAGATTTTGTTGGCTACCACTTCAAAACTATTACACTTCAGTTCAAACACTTACAAGAAGTCACACACCATATTTTATGGGATGGCTCACTAGAGCGCATACAGAAGAGCTTGCTTTGGCTTTAGAATTTCTATATGTGAAACAAACAAACAAAAACCACACATGCCCAGGAATAGAACAGTATATAATCTTTTTTTAAAAAATCCAATACCTCCCAACAGATATTAAAAATCGGGAGTGAAATCAAATCTCCAAATACTTAAGGAATTGTATTGTCCTCGTTTGGTAACGTCTTTTGTTGTTGTAGAAACCAGTTGGGGTTTATTTATTTATTTTTAAAACTTCCTATTTCCCCTAGTTTAAAGAAAGAGAAAAGAAACAATACCAAATAAATGATCTGGAGGCTCTTAGACTTCACATATCAGGCAGTAAGATGAAACAAAAAGAAACTGACAAGACTGATCAATAAACTTTTCATTACCAAATCTCTTCTCCTCCGCCCCCCGATAAGCCACACACATTACAAACCAAACCCTTCTTCCAGGAACATCCCTGACTCACAAAGAAATGTTCTCTTCTCTTCCCCCCCCCTCCTCCCGATTAAAAAGGTCGACATTTTGAATATTTAAAACAAATACCTAGGTATATAATGGAAGTTTGAAGCACCTACTTACACAGAGGGAGAGGGAGAATGGGGGGGCGGGGAGGAGGTGATCCCAGGCAGCAGAGAGGGAAATCAGAGAGCCACAACTTTATAGGTGGGAGGGAAGAGACAAGAGAAGATATGTTCATTCTTCATCTGCCTTTTCTTTTTTCTCCTCTTCCTCCCTCCCTCCCAGGGGGTTCTGGGATGAAGATCAGACCCTGGAGAGGGTACTGGGAGGGGCAAGGGGGAAAGAGGTTGCTTTACCTGCTGCTGCTCCTTCTCTTCCATTGCCTGGCAGAGGATGAAACTGACACACACACAAGAGTTGGGGCTTGACTGGGAAAGAAAGAAGGGGAGGGAGGCAGGGAGGATTGGGGGCTGTTGTGCTTTACTTCCACACACCTGACCCTCTTTACGCCTCAGCTCAGGCGTCATGTCGGGGGGAGGGGGTTAATGTCCCCCCCCCGACATACCTGCCCCCCCACCTGGGGAGGGGCCGATACCCCTATCCCACCTCCATGGGAAAGAAGGCGCCAAGATACCACGGTGATGGGCCACCTTGCTGATTTAAGATGCAAAACA